GCCAGCCGCAGTCCAAAATCCAAATGGGATGGTGATTGTTCCTGAAACCGAGCCGAAAATTTCATTGAAATTTTCTGTAGTCCAAAACCAATGGCACTTGCTGGGAATGGGGGCTTGGTGAATGGAAGCTCGCCCAATTGTTTGTGTGCTCGCTTGTCAAACAATATTTCAACAGGGAGATTAGTTGCTTATTTTGACAGGAGCTGTCAGTGTTCCGTTTAGCACCGGTTCCGGGAAGCCAGGATCCCGTATTGGACCGGATAATCACACGTACACAGCTCCGTTTCCTTTCACGATGGTATCCATGAAAGGATATAGAGGATTTCAAGGATGCGCCTTAGCCAGCTGACGATGATGCTTCTCATATCTCTAGTGCAGCCAGTGCATGCACTTCTGCTCGAGTGCCCTGCCACATCCGCATACCCATCCGCATACTCATCCGCACCCTCGCCCGCAGCACATCCACATCGAGCATAGTTTTTCTTTGGCTTCTCTCATTTTTCATGCGCGCCAGCTAAGCTTTTAATTAAATGCAAGAAAATTCAATTTTAATTAAAATTTCTCAAAAGTCTCTGGGCTGGCATTGCATACGGATGGCGCAGCGATTGGATGGGGCTGCGGATGTGGATGCGGATCCGGATCCGGATCCGGATCCGCACTAGGTATGGGCTCTCGGGTCTTGTCCTGTTTTCGATCTGGGCTGTTCGACTTGAGTGTTTGCCAAACGTGTAAAATTGAAAATTAGGAAATCGAATTGTAATGCCAACAGGGGCAGGACGAAGAACAAAGGGGAGCCAGTTTGTGGGAGAGGGATCCGAGTTATCAGGCACACAAAAGCAAAATTGTAAAGTAATTGGAAATGAAAATTCATTTAGGATCCGAATCGGGATGAGCAAATGCGCTGGGCTGAGGGTCTTTGAAGGGGCAACGAGTCATTTCAACGAGCCCTTCAAATGGACTCTTTTCTACGACAGAAGAAACTCATTCTCATGGGAACCATTTTCTTAAGGACAACTAATCACATTTAACGAACTTTGAAATAATACTTCTGCAGTGATCCCTTTTGTTCAGTCTACGCAGGATTCAAGCCTTATTTATATAAATTAACTTCCATGCAAGAATTGAAAAATGTTTTTTATAAAATGTTGAGAAATAATTAAACTTGAAAAAAAAATAACTTGAAATAATTCATCATAGCAAACTTAATTTTGAATGGCCAAATCGATTTGCAAATTTTCCGAAAATAATCCCGCGTATTCAACTCAATCCCAATAACTAATCCACACGTGACTACCAATATTTTGATATGCAAGGCGGGGCTGGTGGCAAACTTTTGAGCAAAAGTTTGCTAGCCCCCAAAAGCCACCGAGGCTTTTGCGAGCATTTTGCACATAATTTAAGCGCTCACATCCCGTCAGTCATAAATTACACATATTACATGCACGTATAAATCGCAAACCAGATCCGCATATGTATGCGTATGCGCTGTGCGTTCGAGGGTCCTGGTCCTGGTCCTGGTCCTGCTGGGCCCGAGAGTCGGCCTGCAAACTGGAACCAAAGCGCTTAACATCCTTTTTGGCGCTGTGCCACACTGGCACACACTAACACTCACGTGTTTGCAAACAGATACATGTGCAAGTCGAGAAACGCACGTAGCGCAAAAAGTTGCAAACTTCTGCCAGCCCGCAAGTGAAAGCTGGAGGAAAGTAAGTCAAGACGCCACTAAGTCGAGCTGGGAATGCTACTTTTACTCAGAACACCCCGTGCCCATCCGAAGGATCTTATGTTCTGGCTCCCAAGTTAAAAAGGCTGTTAAACAACCCCAGCCCACGGTAAATGTAATATTCTTAATGTTGATTTGACACACGTGACTTTGAATAATATAATAGCACTAAAGTGGGATTAATTACAAAACAAATTCTAAAAACACCACAAGTAAGTAAACTAGGCGCAGTAAGTCAGATCGTCGTAAATTTTCCCTTGAAAAGAAATTTAAAATTTAAAAAACTATTTGGCGACCAGTTTAAAAGATCAACAATCGAACAGTTTTTGTTCAGCATGTTTGAACGCTATAGAAATGTTGCACTGTACCGATTGATACTCCTACTTTGTCTGTGTCAAGTTGCATGTTCTTTTAAAACTCAGCTGTACGATGAGCCCCGATTGCCGGCAAATGTAAAGCCATTTCACTATGATATTAGATTGTTAACTCACCTGGAGAGCTCAGCCCATCCCAGCTACAATGGTTTCGTTAGGATTTCCATTCATGCACAAAAAACCACCAATCAAGTGGTGCTTCATGTGGGCAGAGTTTCAATCGAGGCCAAGAAAATCAGGCTATTTGGTGGGACGTCCAACTATCGTCTGATATATGTCAGGTTCATAAAGGATCGGGAATATATGGTTGTTGCCTTCAACCAATCTTTGTTGATGGGCAAATCCTATGTCCTCAGCATCGAATTCGGCAGGTCAATGTCCATGGATGAGAGGGATGGTTATTTTATACGCCACTATGTACATTCGAAGACCTCGGAGAAAATGTAAGCTTCCTTTCCTTCTCGAGTTCAACAAAGCTAACACCCACGCCCTTAAGCTGGTACTCCGTGTCCCACTTCAATCGGAACTGGGTAAGGAACACCATGCCCAGCTTCGATGAGCCCTCCCTGAAGGCCACTTTTAATGTGACCATGGGTCATCACAAGCGCTTCCAAAGCTACAGCAATATGCATATCCACGCTGTGCAGCCCAAGTGAGTTTGATCCGACTGGATGGCTTGCCCGTAATCCCCAAACGCCATTGTTACCTTTTTCTAGCCGTGAGATACAGGACTATGTATGGTCCGTGCATGAGGTTACGCCCTTGATTCCCACACATTTGCTGGCCCTTTCCGTTAATAACTTCAACTGCCGGTATAGCCAAGCAGCCAGTACGAATCCAGTTCGATTTCGGACCTGTGCCCAGTTGGCTGATATGCGTGAGACCTCCTTTGCCGCCCAAATGGCTCCTCAGATTCTGGAGTTTCTGGACAGTTTGCTTCAGGTGGAACTACCACTGGAGAAGATCGATCAACTGGTGGTGGATGATTTTCCTGCAGCAGCCACGGAAAATTTCGGCCTCGTCGTCTACAGTAGCACACAGCTGTTGCTCCGTGAAAATGGGCCAATGACCAAGGAAAAAGTGGAGGCACTCGAGCTAATCTCTTATGAAATGGCACATGTGTGGTTTGGCAATCTGCTGGGAATGGACCTGAACTCAGACATCTGGTTAACGGAGGGACTAGCCGGATACTTTAAAAGCCTGGCCATGGATCACTTGCAATCGGGAATGGGTCGCCGGATACTGCTCAGGTATCGCGAATCCTCCATCATGTACGAATCGCAGGTGGGCGGCATATCCTTGGTGCCTCCTTTATCAGTCGCCCCTTCTAATGAAGAGAAGCAACTGTACCAGAAGGCCACCTCTCTGATTTATATGCTGATTGGCTTTTTGGGCAATGAGACTTTTTACGATGGAATTCGGCGGCACATGTGGCAGAACTCCTTTGGCAGCAGCACGCCCGAGCTCTTCTGGAGATCCCTACAACTGGCCAGTGAAAGGGAGGCCGCTTTGGCCAAGAACTGGGATGTCAAAAGCATCATGGACACGTGGACTATGCAAGACGGCTATCCGTTAGTCACTGTAATCCGGAACGGGAGTGAAGTATTCCTGACGCAGAGACACGCCCTCAACCGCAGCAGTTCCCAGCTTTGGTGGATTCCGCTGACCTACCTCATAGAGGGCGGATCTGTTTCCAAAAACCTCGAGCCGAGGGCGTGGCTTAGTGCCGACAGCCATAGCATAAAACTAAATGCTATAGTTCCGCCTAACCAGTGGATCCTTCTTAACCTGCGCGCGGTTGGCTACTACAGAGTCAACTATGACGAGCACACCTGGCAGCTTTTGGCCACCACACTGTTCGATGACTTTCGTAGCATAAATGTCCTAAACCGTGCCCAGATCGTCAGCGATGTTCTATTCCTCTGGAATCAGGAGCTGCTCACCTGGTCCACTGCCTTCAATGTATTGAAGTACATCATCAACGAGGACGAGTACGAACCTCTCGTGGCTTTCGTTGTGGGCGTGACCAATGGTTTCTGTGGTATCTCGACGGAGAGTTCGTTTAGCATTGCGGTGAGACAAGACCACCTTGTTTTAATGAGTACTTCCTAAGTTATTCGCCTAAGTGTTCCCTTGTTGTTATATCTTAAGCACTTTTTATTTAAATTAATCACAATAAGAAATAGCATAGTGAATAACAAGTAAGTTTATTTAAATTTCGAATGAATACTTTATAAGTTGTTCGTAGTTAAAGGTTATATCTTAAATTTCAAAGAAAAACCTAAATATTCTTAATCTACGATTCGATAATAATATTGCTTCGGTGTCTCTACAGAAATGGCTTGGTATTGCTGCGAAATGGTATGCAGAGTTCATCAGTTACACGTTCGACAAATTCGTGGTTCAGGATCCCAGCCAGAATCTGAATAGCCTTGACTACCCAGACTAGCCGGAAACAATGGTGGCCCACTCGAGCACCACAAACTAATGGGCCAGGGCAGATGCACTCCCATTTGCCCAGTGGCAAGTCTCCATCTTTGGGAGCTGGCGAAATGAAACCGCCATCAATGAACCGCAATTGTATTTGTTTGCAAATAACTGAGCGTTATCTGAGACTATTTATCTTTATCTGCAACAAAAGCAAAAGCATCTCCGCACAATGCCAAAGGACCAGGAAGGAGCAGCCCCTGGGAACTGTGGATCCACTTACAGCCAAGGCGCCAACTGAAATAATGATGCAGGCGAAATAACAATAAAGGCGGGCCGCGAAAAGGACTGGGCAGGTATAAAGGACAGTATCGATGCTCCTTTCCGCAGCGGTAAAGACAATGGCAGCCCTCGTAATATTGCAGCAATTTCCATGGCAATGCAATGGGCTCCTTCTACTTACCAAATCACTTCAAGGAGTCGAGTCTTTAAGGTCGCTGCAAAGAGTTTTAGGACGGAGTTTGTGGAAAGAAATATAAGTAAAGTATTATAGTCGGTTAAAAATCTGAAAATTGTGTGAGCAAAAAGTTCGTTTTACGCCTAATGAAATTTGGGCAATTCCGTGGGAGCCAAAGCTCAGGCGGAAGCGTATTCCGCCTAAAACCTGCAAATTAAATTTAATGGAACATATATTACCATTTTCCGTTTTGTTATTTTTCTGACCCCCATTTTCGGCTCTCTGGCTGGTTTATGGTCGTCGGCAACACAAATATTTATAAATCAAATTTAGCGCTTTGGATTAATACGGGCATTCCAAAGCAAAAGTATTAACATCCAATCACTTGCAAGCCCGATAAATTTTATATTTTATAATATATATGCACTTATAAAACAATTAACTTTTTACTAGTTCTCGGTTGAGGTTTATTTTCTGATTTTGCTTTTTGGCGTTAATTGTATATGGTTCGTGTGATATCTTTTTTGTCTGGATGAATCTTGTTTAATTTTTATTCCCCTTTGTCAGTGGTCATTTTTAAATGCGCACATTTATTAAGGTTGCTATTTAATTTTCTTTTTGGTAAACAAAAGGAGCCCCAAAGTATGCACTTTGAACGCAATAAAAACAAAGAGTCTTATGCTGCATTGAAAAAATCAATTATTGTCATTATTGTAAAAGCAAGTAAAAAATGTCAGAGATGGCCACAATACAGTTGCTGAATGCAGTTGACAGTTTTATAATGACGTTCATTATGGAAGCAGGCAATTAATTTCTTTTAATTGCCCAGGTGTGTCAAAAGAAGTAACAAAACTCGAAAGTTGAACAGAATTAATAAAAATTAAAACACATTTAACGACGAGTTTTTAGAACTGAAAATATTGTTCGCTAAAGTAAGTGTTAAAATAAAAATATACCAGTCACTTTTTTGTCTTTTTAATAATGTACTTAATATCATAAGTATTTTGTTCATGTTTTCTTAACTGAATATAAACAGAAAGTTGGCCGCTTGTAATATTTATTATAAAATTTATTACACTTGTAGCTAAAATCAAAGCGCCCCTTATGAATACGCTAACAAACATCTTATCCTTTTCAAACCACAAGTCAGCTAGTTCGCCAACGGGCAGGATTCAGTTGACACATCTTCATCCTTCTGACTGCATTTGAGCACTTAAAGCATATGTCGATTGCCCCTATGGAGGGGACAACGAGAGGAGAATCAAAAACATCTCTCAGCAAATAAACAACCAACATACTGGGAGTCGGAATCCGAGTTGTGTTGAATTTTTTGCATGAATTATGCAAGGAGTGTGTTCAACTGTTGTGGGCTGGCCTGAGTTCTGGGTGTCCCAGGCTCCCACAAAGGGAATTCTTAAATGGGATTTGGGAAATCACAAGCCGAGCCCAGAGATGGGGATGTGAAATTAAAAGGGGATGGCGAGCTCAACGGTAGGCGAACCATTTTTTCGCTTTGATGGGATATCCAATTGCAGTTAGTCCAAGTAATATATACATTTAAGTATGATCGCAACATATGTGTACGAGTATATGCGGCTTATGTGATTGTGCACAGGAAGAAACACAGGAAAATCTGTTAGGCAGCTGTACGAGTAATGTTGTATTAACAAATATGAAAATTCTTTATCCCTGAGAGGCATTGTCTAATGTATGTAGCTAAATATCTCAGGTGGTGCACATTTGCATTGCATGCGAGTGCAGCTTTTAAAGCCAGGCCAATAAATTCAGGCAGCGTTAACTACGTGAAATCCCATGCCTATTTACTCCGGGCCCACGTCCATCTTTGGCAATGAATCCCCCACCGCCACCTGCAAAATTGCAACTTAACAATGCTTCAGAGGGCCGGCGATTCCGAATTCCCACTAACTTGGCTTGGATATGGAAACATAGTGATTAGGGTTTAACCAGACATCTCGTCGCATCAGTGAAAATATTCTTTTATTTTAATAAATATTGAGCTGAAAGTAAAACAACAAGGTCTCTACCCACGGCCATAACCACCTAATTATGCGCCAATAAGTATGCAAAATTAAAATATTATGCAAATTATATGAAATGCGGATAGATCGTTGAATTTAAAAGCTTTTTGTTTTGATTTTTGGACGGGATGTGAACGAGCAGAATAAAATTGTGACATCATCATCGTCGTCGTTATCAGCAATGTGTCAAAAACAAATTTCCGCGCAATGAGAGGAAGGTGGTGGCGAGATATTGCCGCATCAAAACTCTTGTTTACCCACTAAAAGTAGTGCAAACACCAAAGAATGGTGCCTCGAATACAGTTTTGTGGATCCAATAGCAAAATGGGTGAAAAATAAAAACACCCAAATTCCGTTCGTATCTCTAGTTTTATTGTTGTTTGTCTGTTGTTATAATAAAAATATTTCTTCGTAGGATATATTCTCACTTAATGCGGAAATCAGTCAAGCATAAAGTATGGTAAACAGAGATAAATACCAAATGGCCATTGGCTCCAACTTTCTACCGCCAAAAAAAAAAACATAAAAAGTAGTTATGCCGAAATATTCTTAATTTATCGGCCAACTGTATGCTTGAAAGAATAAATCAATACGTATAATGATATGCAACGGTTGAAATTGATAAACCAAAATGCGTGGAAGGATAAAAAAACATGTTCAGAAAAAATCAGCTATAAATTGAACCGAATATTAGTACGCAGATATAAATAAATCAACATATTATTAAACAGCAATAAGCGGTATATTTATTATTCAATTTCGCTTAATGTTTTTGTGCTCAGAACTTTTTTTTTTTTGAGCCCAGTGGTGGGAGATTCATACTTTGAATCGAATTAATAGGTGCCGATTTGTCTGCATTTATAATAGACATTGTGCCACAAATTACTTTAAAAGCAAAGTATTGATTTTCGCGTTCAAATCCAAACTTAAACATCCATTTTCCATTTTGCGATGACGCCAAGTCTTCCGCGTTCAATGCAGAAAAGATTACTGTCCACACTATAAACTAATGCGTACACTTAATGAGTTCAATTCGGGTGTTTGAATCTATCTGACTCGCTACTGCGAGGGCATCGCCTTTTATTCATTCTTACATAGGTTCTTATCATCTAATTATATAATGCAGCGCTTGTAAGACGCTGCAGTCTGCGTTGGTCAATGCAGCTGAGGTTTATCTTAAATCTATGTTTGTGGCCTATGACCGCGCTAGTCACCTCCCGCGTGATCATATCTCTTGACACTTCGGCAATAGACCACTGCAACCGTACTTATCTGTAGTTGCCACTTATGCTGTCCCGTGACATGTTTATTGCAGCCCTTAAATAGAATATATTTATAGATTGTCTACTTATCATGTCTAAACACATGTTTAGACATTCTCCGGGGGGAAAAAATGTACGGCCAGTAGTCGTCTATCATTTATGCGTTCCAGCTCCAGCTGGTTTTGCTTCGCTAACAGGAAGTTGACAGATCTTATTTAGCGATCTTTTTACTTCCCCCTCGTTTGTTTTGACCGTGACTACCCGGACTTTATCATCTTGTCCTTTAGTCGTACTAATGATTCTTCCCATTGGCCATCTTGCAGGGTGAGTATTCTCATGTTTTATAAGAACCAGCTGTCCCTCCTTCAGATTTGGCTTTACTTGCCGCCATTTGGTTCGCTGTTGCAATGACACCAGATACTCATCTTTCCATTTCTTCCAAAAATCACCTCTGATGCGTTGAATAAGCTTCCATCTATCCAAAGAGCTGATTGTCTTACTTTCGTCAAAATGTTCAGGAGCTCCAATTAGAGGTCTTCCCACCAGAAAATGACCCGGCGTTAATATGTCCTCACCATCGTTTTCGCTCCTTACAGTGACTAATGGGCGCGAGTTTAGCACTGCTTCGATTTGACACAGCAGCGATGCAAATTCTTCATATGTAAAGCTGTTTTCACCAATAACTCGTTTAAGGTGATGCTTCACTGATTTTACACCGGCTTCCCATAAACCTCCCATGTGGGGGTTTCCCGGGGGAATAAAGTGCCACTTGATGCCTTCTTTTTCTAGTGTAGGTGCTAACTCATTATTGTTTTTAATGGCAGCTACAAATTCTTTGTCCAACACTCTTGAAGCTCCTACGAAGTTTGTTCCATTATCTGAGTATATGTTCTCACTCTTGCTTCGTCTTGCATAGAACCGTCGAAGAGCCTCCAGGAATTTGTCTGATGAAAGGTCGCTAACAGCTTCCAGATGTATCGCTTTTGTTGCCATACAAACAAATACACAAATGTATCCTTTATAAGTTTTTTGACCTCTTCCCTTTGAGCAGCGAATCTGGAACGGTCCGGCGTAGTCGATTCCAGTATTTTGAAACGAGTAATCAGCCGTTACTCGATAAACTGGTAAATTTCCCATCAGTTGACTGGACATCTCTTGCTTGTATCGTAGGCATACAATACATTCCCTTAAATATTTCTTTAAGGAATTTTGTATGCCAAATATCCAGAACGCCCTCTGAATATAAGTTCTCATAATGTTAATTCCGCCATGCAGAGTTTCTTTATGAGCATCCTTTGCAATTAACCAAGTCAAATGTGACTTATCCTGTATAATTGGATGTTTTACATTATACGGTATCATTGCGTTTTGTAGTCGTCCACCAACTCGAAGTACGCCATCACTATCCAAAAAAGGATTTAGCGCCTGTAACTTACTCTTT